GCGAACAGGTTACCTCACCTGCTCTTCTACGGTCCGCCGGGAACGGGCAAGACGAGCACGATCCTGGCGATGGCCAGGCGCATATACGGAGAGCGGTGGAAGAACAATGTGCTCGAGGTAAGTCGTGCAGCCTTGTGCTTCTTGCGCGAACAGGTGCGTTTCGCTCCTTGCCTTGGTACTCACTCGCCAAATTCGTACCTATCACTCCCTCGACATCGCGCAGCTCAATGCTTCAGACGATCGAGGAATAGAAGTCGTACGAGAACAGATCAAAAGTTTTGCTAGCACGAGGAACGTCTTTAGCGCTGTTGGAGGCGGCACCACTGCTGCACCAGGCGGCTACAAGCTCATTGTACTAGACGAGGCAGATGCGATGACCACCGCTGCTCAGGGCGCGTTGCGGCGAGGTGAGTAAAGTCAAGTATTAGCGCGACGCCACGCACCCTTGGCCTAGGCTCCGTGTCAAGGGATGAAGCTGACTGCCCATGTTGCCGCGTTCATCGCAGTCATCGAGCAGTACACGAGGAACGTGAGGTTCTGCATCATTTGCAACTACGTCAACAAAATCATCCCTGCCATTCAATCAAGGTGCACGCGATTTAGATTCAACCCTCTGGAACTGGACCAGGTCGAAGGCCGATTAGACCATGTCATCGACAGCGAAAAGTGAGTGTGGCTTGGAACGTCTGGCATAGAGGACGCACTTCCCAGAAGGGCTCTGCTGAAACCCTTGACTGGCAATTTGGCCCGATCGCAGGTGCAATGTGACCCAAGATGGCAAGGAAGCCTTGCTGAAATTGAGCAAAGGGGACATGCGTAGGGCTCTCAACATCTTGCAAGCTTGTCATGCTGCGTATGAAGACAAGATCGACGAGACTGCAGTGTATGCATGCACGGGCAACCCTCATCCGAGCGATATCGAGCTGATTGTGGGCAGCATGATGAATGACGAGTTCTCCACGAGCTACAACTGTACGTGCCAGCGAGTTGACATACCGAATGAGCTCACGTCCACTGACGCCGCCGTTCCATCTGCCTGGATCAGATGTGTCGTCTTTGAAAGCCTCGAAAGGCATGGCCATGGCAGACATGGTCAGCGGCATTTACGACTTTCTGATGACGCTCAAATTGCCTCCGACCGCGCGCATCTATCTGCTGGATCAACTCGCCACTATCGAGTGAGTTTGCTCGCGACGCCCGCAATCCACACTTGACTTACGTCCCAGTTGCATGGCTCTTCTCTCATCGCTCAGGCACCGACTGAGCACCGGGTGCTCTGAGCGTATCCAACTATCAGCGCTGCTGGGAGCGGTAAAGGTCTCTGTGCAACTCGCCGACAAGGCAAAGAAAGCAGGCCATAAAGCCAAGTGATTTCCCGCACGTGTACACAAACGACCCCAAATGACACAAGGGAAGGTACAAAGCATGCATGCAAGTCACCCAAATTTTGTTAAGATCCATTGTGGGAGGGCCCGCAATATCAAGCATCTCAAGGCACTACGCGCGTCTCCTCCCACTCCTCGTGAGCTCCTTTGCCAGTGCCCTCGCTTTTGCGCTGGAACATGCTCCGTCTGTCTCGGTCGAGGTCGACCACGTCCACTTGGCGAGGTAGCAGGACCACGAGCGCGAAGCTGGAGAGAGATTTAGCAGTCATCGAGATGTAGAGGCCGACGTGAGGGTCAGAAAAGACAAGGCTCGAGAAATGACACTCTTGAACGCAGAGAAGGGCCGGGGGCCGAGGGCCGAAAGGGCCTGTCTCGAACGACTCACTTCTCATTGCTCTTCTCTAGCAGCTTCTTTTGTTCATCGGTGATTCTTTCGTCTGTAGGCCTTGGTAGTTCCAAAGGCCAAGGGCTTGCATCGCCTTTGCCTTCTCCCTCGCCAGGTCCGTCTCCGCGAGAATTGCCTTGAGGATGATCGGAGCCGGGTGTGGGTCTGGCAAAGGAAGCCAACAGGGAAGGGCTGAGCTTTTCAAAGATTCTCTTGCGCTCTTGTTGCCAATCCCATGATTGACCGGAGATGCTCGGCGGGGCGGCTTCGGCGGGCAAAGAACGAAGTGTTGGATGATTGGCATGCGGCACGAGGTGCAAAGTGCCCGTGATTCGAAACTATCGGGTAGCACCTTCGAGGTCAGCCAATGGGCACCTTTTGGTAGCATTGTCGCAGCGTCCTCCGCTTCTGCGCACTAACCTGCAGCTTTGAGGGATCGTGCCACCAAGCAATCTGAGCCTGAGCGCTTCCCGTCCTTTCTATGCTGTCCCGAATCTGTTGTGCTTTGGGAGCCCTAACGTCCGTCGTGGTCAAAAGCGCCGTTCCACAGCCGAACCCATCCAGCGCCGGCTCTACACCCTCTGGCGTATCTGCTCTCTTCTCGTTCACGAAGCCTCGGTGAACGACGTATCGGACTTGAGGAGTGGGTGGAGAACCTGGGATCACGGTCGAAAGTGCGTAGTACACTGCCCTCCCCACCCCAGAAGAATGCGAGCGTCAGCGAGTCGTCTCGCAAGCGCAAAATCAACATCAAGGCGACCAATCCCAGCTTCTGATACTCACATACAGAGCCATCATTCTTGATATTTTCAGCTATGCTCTTTGCGATTAGCGTCTTCCATCTTGGGTCCGCAACAGGTGCTGTTGCTGCCGAAGCCATCTTCGCCCCCTTGAGTGTGCTTTGGTGGGGAACGGGGCGCGAGTCGTGATACGACTGCCAGCGTGACGAGGCAGCTCGCGAGACTACTCACTCACTAGCTTAGCGAAGATCTGTGTTGAAGGTTAGCTGAATTGCCGCGGCGGAGTGTGGGCGTTGGGAAGCGGATGGTAAGCCCATTGGGACGCCGGGGAAGTTGCTGACGCAGCATCAGGCCCAACGCCGTCTGCCGCATCGCGCGTTTCCAGCCAGCTCTCGCGGCGGAATGTGGAGGTCACATGCAGGGCTTGTGCGTGTCGCCTAATCAGCAGCCTGACCTCCTCCTGCCTCTGCGGAGCCAGGGTCTGTCTGTATGGGTCATCACAAGTGCGCCGGAACAAAGGCAGCAGATGAGGTTGCAGACTGGCACTGGTCAGCTTGCGTGCAACTCGACGTCGTCAGTCCCAACAATCAAGGAGCTAGGATCTCTTGATGCTTTTGAAAAGGCCTAAGAATTGAGGGCCGAGTACGGTGACTAGATACATTTCGGGTACGAGTCGGGGTAGTACATGAGTGATGTGCTTGTGGGATGGGACATGAAGGATCTGATGGCAGGCAGACACGCGTCGCTCGGCCAATTATGCTGGAACAGGAGAAGCTTGCAGGGTGCTTGGCGATCGACCACCTCGGTGGCCAATGGTCGAATCGCTACCTTCGCGACTTTGGCTATCGCTGTCAGAGCGCGACCGTTCGAGCATCATGCTAGCGTCCAAGGCCGAGGCGCGAGGGCTGGCGCTGCTAGGAAAGGGTGCATGTCCACCTTCACTACTTCCATCGCTGCTGTTTGGGCGCACCAGAGTCTTGTCTTTCGGACGCTGACTCAGCATGCTTGCCTCTGCAGCGGCCCAGCGAAGCCTGTGCTCCCGCCATTGCTCATCAACGCTCCTCACGAGCTCGTTGCTGCTGCCGAGCGGTGGTGTTACACACTCTCGCTGCCACTTGGATCGCGTGATGATGTCCGTCGTATGCTTGATGAAAGAAGGCGGCGGCACCCGTGATAGGGCGCCAGAAGGAACGAGATACTGGACGTTCAGAACCTGGCCATCCTGGCTTGCGTCGTTATCGTCTCTGCTGCTCGCAACTCTTCTGAGTGCAGATCGAGGAATGCAAGCTGCATTGGAAATGGCTCTTCGACGATAGGTTTCGTGATTGAGCTCTGCACCACCAAGTGCAGGCTTCTTGAGCAAGGCGTGGGATGCCAAGCTCTCGTCGAGCTCCTGCATGCGTAATCGTACTTCACCTGCAAAGTCGCCGCGTCCACTCTCGTTGTTGTGGCTGCTCACATGATTGCTGGTCTTCTTGAAGCCTAAATGAGGCGTACCTGCGCTTGGAGCATACGTGGAGCCATTGATGCTCTGAGGAGCGCTAGCGGATGTAGGATCGGTCTCGTAAGCGTCCAAGCTGTCCACTGACGACGGAGTGTGCAAAGGCGAAGGAGCTTCGGTCGACGCTCTAAGAGAAGCGGATTGGGCGGAGCCGGACAAGTCCGAGTCCACAGCTCGAGAAGCACCGCTTTGCGTCTGATCCTGAGAGCCACCGAGCTGGGGCCCGTCATCGCCTTGATCCGTGGTCGTTGCCCCATCTGCCTCGGCGAGAAGCCTCTCCTCTTCTTCACGTTGCTCCTCGGCTTCAAGAGCGAGCAATTCCGCGCGCATCTCCTCAGCTTCGCGTTCAAGCCCGAGTCTGAATTCCGTGATCGTGGAGATAGCTTCGACTTCATCGAAGCGCGAATAAGGCTCTGGAGGTGTCCATGCTGCATTGGATTGATGGTAAGCTGCCAGCCATGGGTGTCTGAGCGCCTCGTCTGCCGAGATCCTCTCGTCCGGATCCCACGTTAGCATCCGGTCAAGTAGATCCAGTGCCAAAGGCGTTGCCTTGGGGAAAAGGTTGCTGAAAGGAACCTTTGGCATCTTCGGCAGCGACTGCACGTAGGTTTTCGCACGCTGACTTCCGATTTTGGCGATGGTCGCCTCTGTTGGCGTGCCCAAGACATTGTTGATGCGGGCAATTTGGTCGACGTAGTCTTTGCCGGCAAACAGCGGCTTGCCCGCAATAAGCTCCGCTAAGATGCAGCCAATGCTCCATACATCGATCTCGGCGCCATAACCCCGCCGGAAGCACAGCATGACCTCTGGAGCGCGGTACCACCGCGTTGCAACGTACTCTGTCAATGGGCCCCCCGGAAAATACAGCCTGGTGGACCGACTTCTGCCTGACCGCCTGGTGGTGTCCACCGCAGGAGCCTGCGCTAGCCCAGCATCCGGTGGGCTCTTCATCGGCGAGAGAGATTTGGAGTGGCTGTCATCGGATGAAGATGAAACTTCGGAAGCTGGCACAGCAGCGCCATCCTGAGTGGGCGGGGTGCCTGCCTTGCCCCGGTCACCTCGAGGCTGACGTTCTGCGCTGGTGCTGTACGAACGAGATCGTGACCTTCGTTCCGGCCGCTCGGCATGAGCTCGTGCCAAGCCAAAGTCGCAAATCTTCAATTGGCAGTCGGCATTGACCAACAGGTTGCCGGGCTTCAAATCGCGATGGATAATGTTTGCTGCGTGCATATACCGCACGCCGCGGAGAAGTTGAGCAAGAAAGTATTGTAGGTGCGAGTCTGACAAGGTTTGGCCCGACCGAATGATTTGGCTGCGATGATGTAGGCCAGAAGCGTCAGACTCGAACGTCCGCGACAGGTGTATGGAGAACGACACTCACCTCAAATCGGCTTCGCTAGCCTCCATCACCAGATAAATTTCGTTGAATTCGATGAAGCTGGTGTCAAAGTCCAAAAGCGCCGTGACGTTGCCGCACATGCCAATGTGTCGAAGCACTGCCACTTCTCGTAGTGCGCGCCTTGCCAAGACATCTCGCTCGAACACCCGCGTAACCTTCTTTATCCTGCAGAAATTGCAGGGCGCATCCAGCCGACGCAGGGGTCAGCATGCCATTGCACCGGTGCAAATCATGCAGCAACAACTCACGCAACATCGCAGTCGAGCACGCTGTCGCGTGCGAGAGCTACGCATCCATAAGCGCCGATGCCCAACTCTCGAAGGAATGTATACCTCCTGTGTACGTGGAAAGGCACTCCTAAGCAGACAAAGGAGTGGTAACCTTTCATGGCGAGTTTGTGGGGACTGAGGGGGTGATCTTCGCTGCTGTATCTTTGGCGCGACCCTGACGGGCCGCCGATCGATGTGCTGATCGTTGATCCCATCTGCCTCGTTCTTGTGCGCGACCGTGTTGCTTGTCTGCCGCCTACTTGGTGCTGTTGCTGTGAAGGTGGTTGGGGTAGAGGCACTGGCGACGATGAGGTCAGACCGCTGCAGCTGCTCGCCAGTACAGGTGGCGGCGAACGCCTCGTTGGTTGAATGGAGGGCATGTTGAAGTGTCTTGATGGCGGGAGACTGGCGACGAGATAGTCTTATACAAGCACTTCGATGACGTCTTGTAGTCAAAAGTGCTTCTATGCTGACGGCACGCCAGACGGGTTGTCTGACAGGCTGAGGCGGCGATCTGCGAAAGCCAGCGCGGTGTTGAAGGCGGGTAGTGAATATGCGATCACAGTGCTGCGCATGTATCAGGCACGCCTGGTGCAGTGATGCAGTGTGCAACGGGCGGGCCGCTGCTTGATATATCTCTTGCTGGACTGGGGTGCGAAGATTAAGAGTGCGCGAGTTGTGACTGCAACGAGTAACGCACACCAGCCAGCAGGGGTGCGGCGCTGTATCAAGACTTGCGAGGCGCCGCGGCTAGAAGGCTATGCGAGCGTCACAGCATCCAGCAGCAGACTTGCGTTGCTGGATCAGCTAGGTGAGGTGCGGATGGGCCGGGGTCCGTCTGGCAATTCACGATTTGTGCAGGTCGATCAGAGCTCTGCAACACTACAACCGCCCAAAAGCACCGAGACACCTATCAAGAGCCAGATCTTGCCAGGTCTCGGATGCTGAGCGGTGATGACTGTAGGAGGTGCGTTGAACTGATTGGCCTACTGTAACGGCGAGCCTGAGACTTGAAGTGGTGATGCGAGATGTGGGGTCAGATTACGCCTATGCGGTCGCCAGATGTGAGCGTCTAGCCAGTATCACTAATGATGTGGTATTGTCTCGGCCTTCTTTTGGCGGAGGTGTCGACGTCGCACGACGTACGTATCGATTCGTGTCACGCTCCGCCACGATCGAGACTCGTGGTCACACTGCCCTGATAACTTTGCTGAAGTGCCGTATATGGGGGCGCCAAGGCCCTCGCTGGCAATGCAGTTCAAGCCGCGATGCGCGGTGCACTGCGCGTGGCTTTGATTGGTAGGTACCCGGGGTACAAAACGCTCCACTTATTTATGGACACCGAGATCGTTCCGAATGGCCGAGTGGAGGTGGTCTTCTTGAGGTTGGAGGGACGTGTGAGATGCGCGAGTGTGCTCTCAAAGGGGAATGCTGAGCGAGGCAGGATCCCAGCCCACAAGCTGGGAGTGATCGGAGGTGCGTTTGAAAGCTGACGCTTATGGGTTGTAGCAGCTCAACTTGGACTCGGGGCGCAGCTAATGCCGTGACTGTTGCCCTACCGGCCAACACCTCTGCGATACAGTAGAAAGTCGCGAATGCTGTGAATGCTGTTCGGCGTGATGCGACCCGGTCACAAGAGACTGTCTCAGGGATTCCTTTGCGTGCGCAGCGATTTGCGGTGAGCAGCCGACGCGTCAAAAGCAGCTGGGAGCGCTCGGTTCGCAGTCACAGGGCAACGCGTCCGTGCTGAGGTCGATTGTGGCGGCAGATCGTGGAAGCTCGTTGTGACGGCGAGCCTGACCTTGGACGTTGTCTTGCTAGTTTCGACGGATGCGAAGCTATGTCGTGGGTGATGAGGAGGACGAGATGGATGTGAGAGGTAGAATCGGGTATGTGACCTTGATTTGGCGAGTCGTAAGTGAGATCTTAGATTGAGCGGTCGATCAGCTGCGTGGGTTGTACCGTGGTCAGCTGCGCAATCCCGGAGGGGCAGGGCGAGCGGGTCCTCCTGCCTTTTGGCTGGTGACCCTCTCTCTCTCATGCGAGTCAACGCGCACCCAAAACCTTGTGATTCAGCGCTCGTCTCTCTGCCTTTCCAAAACAGCCAGATCGGCAGCCGGAGCGGTGAGCCGAAAGTAGAGTCGTACGCGACAAAGAGCTGTCAGGTGAGCAGACAGTAACGGTAGGCTAGGAGAATTCAGCGCGACGATGCTGCAAGGCTACTTTGCCGGCTGCTCTAGTGCCGGGCAAGGTCAAGGTGGCGTCCCGTGGCGGTCGTGTAGCCTCAGCATGAGCAACCTTGTGGTCCTTGTATGCCCAGCCCGACTGATGGCTGCACGTACGCTGCATGCTGCTTTGACGCCGGCTTCAAAGCCAGGCCGGGCACGCGCTGTTGCGGCGTGCCTCGACCGAGGGGCGGGGCAACCGACAGGGAGCAGCAGCAGCAAGTCACAGCTGCCTTGGGACTGCCACGCTGTTGTAACAGCAGCAAGCTGGGGGGCGCGTCATTTGCTGCCTGGCCTGCGAGCGGCAGCTGCGTGGCGGCACCCTTCCTCTGAGCGGCAAGCACCCCATCTGCTTCTGATGTCAAGTAGCGCTGTCGGGGCCATGCAGAAACACGCACCGCTCCCGCCTCTCCCGCGACGCGCTCGATCGTGAAAAGAGGGTCTCGCATTCGCTCTGCATGAGGTCACCAAGCTGCAAAAGGCATCCCGCGCCCCAACGGTGTGAGCAATCGTGACCTGAATACCGCGGTAATCGTGAATTGAATGGTGAATGACAAGGAGTCTTCCTTTTTAGGTTGTTGCTAATGACCCAATT